AAGTGCCTGAGATCTAATTTGTATTCAGGTCTTCCTGACTTCAGGACCGGCTCCGGCGCCCCTAGGGGAATAGAGACGAAAGCTGGGATTTCACTAATACAAACAACTCCCAGGTGAGGAAACTTCACTGCCAATGCAGGTCAGCAGCACCTTCTCTGAAATTTATAATCTTAGAGAATTGCCTCGAGCACCGAGCAGTTAAATGAGTTGCCCAGGGTCACACAGCTGGTATGGTTCAGAGTCCACACTTGAACCCAAGTCTTCTGGGCTTTGAAGCCAGCTCTCTAGCCACTGTGCCATGCTCTCTTTTTTTCCTTTTTATTAAGTGACTTGCCCAGGGTCACACAGCTAGTGTCAAGTGTTTGGTCTGAGGCCGAATTTGAACTCAGGTCCTCCTGACTTCAGGGCTGGTGCTCTATCCACTGCGCCACCTAGCTGCCCCTCCATGCTGTCTTAAAGTGGTGAAAGAAGAGCTGAAATTTAATTCAAGTTGACAAAGATGCATTGTCAACTCTGTGCAAAGAGACAGCTGGGAAGGAGTGGGTATAGAGCTAGCCTGGAGGGAGAGAAAATGGAGAGAATGGAAATAGGATGGAGAAAGTGGAGTGGGAGAGAGAGACAGAGAAAGAGATAGAGAGGAGGGAGAGAGAGACAGAGACAGGGACAGACAGAAATAGAGAGACAGATACAGAGACAGAGAGAAGAGAGAGAGAGACAGAGACAGACAGAGGAGAAGAGAGAGAAAGAGAGAGAGAATGGAGGGAGAGAAAGAGAGAAAATGGAGAGATAATGGAAGGGAGAGACAGAGGCAGAGGCAGAGAGACAGACAGACAGACAGAAGGGAAGAGAGAGAGAATGGAGGGAGAGAAAGACAGAAAATGGAGAGATAATGAAAGGGAGACAGAGGCAGAGGCAGAGAGAGATAGAGGGGAAGAGAGAGAAAGAGAGAGAGAGAATGGAGGGAGAGAAAGAGAGAAAATAGAGAGATAATGAAAGGGAGAGAGAGAGAGAGGAGAAAATGGAAGCAGAGAAAGAGAGAATGGAAATAGGATGGACGAAGAAAGTGGAGTGGGGAGAGACAGAGACAGAGATAGAGAGGAGGGAGAGACAGACAGACAGAAATAGTCAGAGAGACAGAGGAGAGAGAAAGAGACAGAGACAGGGAGACAGACAGACAGACAGAAGGGAAGAGACAGAAAGAGAGAATGGAGGGAGAGAAAGAGAGAAAATGGAGAGATAGTGAAGGAGGGAGGGAGAGAGAGAGAAGGAGGAGGAGGAGATAATGGAAGGAGAGAAAGAGAGAATGGAAAGAGAGAGCGAGCCAGTGTTTGAATGTTTGTCAGGCCTCTCATCCTGCTCACAGGGCCCCGTGAGAACCATGACACAGCATGGCAGGAGGGGCCCAGGCAGCTCTCTGCTTCCCACGGAGGGAAAGGTGACTCTCAGCTGTTTCTGTTGGCACAGACCCATCGGGCAGCTGGCCCAGGCACGGGGCCATAGGGGGAACGAGGGCAAAGGGAGGTTTGAAAGTGGTGGGGAGAGACTGTGCCGGTAGAGCAGGAAGAGGTGGCAGCGTGCCTCAGAAGGGGAGGGAGGGAGGGAGGAGGGAGACAGGCAGCTCTGAAGGCATCCCTGAGGCTGAGGCTGCAGGAGGGGGAGAGATAAAGGGGGGAGTGACCAGCCACCCTGAGTAAAAGGGATCCTTCGGCAGGATATTTCTCAGAACAGGGCCCTGTTAGGGCAGGCCCTTCACTGGTTAGTTCATTCATTCACTCCTTTGTTGAGAGCCTCCTATGTGCAGGGCACCGAATAAAAACAAGCCCACTTTCCCAGCTCAAGGGCCACCTTTTTCCTTGAAAAAACTCCTGCTTCCCTCCAGATAAAAGTGACAGACTTTTCTAACTTCCTTAAGGCGCTTTGCCTCTCTCCTTGGTCCTCAACACATCTGACATTGTATTACACTTACGTACCTCATGTCCCTCCTCGAGTAGAGAGTAAACTCTTTGAGGGCTGGGACTATCACGTTTGTTTTTTACTCTTTGCAGCTGAGTGCCCTGTGCATAGTAGAGTATAAGTGTTTGCTGAGTGACCTTAAAAAGTACAAAGAATGGTTCAGGGCTCTGAAAGAGACACAGAAATGAATAAAGATAGTCAATCATCCAGCCTGAGGTTTGCATTTACACTCCCCTGGTTGGGACAGACCATATACACAAACAGATAGTTCACCTTTTTCTTTTGTCCACACTTGTGAGTTCACTGGTGTAGGGAACTTTCCATGAGGAAGCTGTGCAGGTTTGATATCTGCTCTGCAATTTCTAGTCTCAGAAAGTTGCCCGGAGGCACAGAGAGGTGGCAGGTGGCCAAGGGCCCCCAGCCCATGTATCAATTCTTCCAGACTCTTTAGCTACCACATTCCCATTGCTTCTTCCTGGAGTTTGGAAGGAGTATTTGGTAATTTGGCAGCTGAGGTGACAGGTCCAACCCACACTGTCTATGAGGAGAAGGGGTTCACCCAGGGTCACACAGAATGTGTCAGAGACGGGCCTTGAATCCAGGTTTTTCCTGACTCCAAGGCAGACCCTCTATTTGCTAGACCTTCCCTGCCTTTCTTAATTAACAACATAAGGAGTAAGTAAGTACCAAGTGCTTAATCCTTCTCTCCACCCCCTAACTTTCCCCCCAGGAATTCCTCACTCCTAACACCTCCTGCATCTTGGGGGTGTGGTTCTGGGGTGGGGATAGGAGAGGACAGTGACTGTCTTTCCCACTCTCCCGACCAGTCTGTCATTCCCCAAACAACCCTGCCGCCCATTGAGAAGTGAGCCCGAGGACTCTATCAGATTGATTCTGCTAGCAGGAACATTGTGCAGGGTGAGGAGCAAGCCCTGCTGAGAAGCCCATCCAGCAAGGTGCTATGCCCATTGGTGAGAAGAAAGGGCATCGATGGACAGCTAGGTGGTGCAGTGGATAGAGCAACGGCCTTGGACTCAGGAGGACCCAAGTTCAAATCTGGCCTCAGACACAAAACACTCACTAGCTGTGTGACCCTGGGCGAGTCACTTAACCTCACTGCCTAGCAAAAAAAAAAAAAGGGCATCGAGGTCTTGCAGATCGGCAGCTGGGAGTTCTCTTGGCCACAAATGTTGTCTACATGTGTGTCTTACTGCCATCATGTTCTGCTGGTGCCCACTCATCGTACAAAAATGGTGGACATTAAAAAAAATGGTGGGCATTTTCCAGGTTGGGGGAAGGATATATGCACACATACACATATGGAGACATACATACATATATATATACATATATATAATTGCATGTATGTGTATGCTATAAAGCATAAATATATACATGCACATATGCAGGTGTATATACATATAAACACACATGTACATGCGTATATAACATGTGTACATGTGCATATCTGTAAATGCAATACACATGCATGCATACATACATATACATACATATGGAGGGAGAGAGAGAAAAAGAGAGAGATGGTGGATAGAAGGTCAGTCAGGAAGACTTGAGTTCAAATCCTGTTTCAGAAATGTATCAGCTGTATGACTTGGTGCAAGTCAGTTAACTGCTCTTAGCCTCAGTTTCCTAATCTGTAAAATGGGGGAGCTAATAATAGCCCCTACCTCACAGAATTATTAGGAGGATCAAATGTAAAGACCCTGCATAAATGTTATCTGTTACCGTTGTTCGTTGCTCAAGAACTCTCTCGGGTGGAGTCCACCAGTCTCCTCTTGGCAAAGCAGTTTCCACATATAAAAGGGGGTAGACTAGATGTTCTCTTTGGTAGGAAACTCTGTGATTCTAAGGCGGAGGAAGGTGTGCAGGTGTGTGCTCCGTGGTGGTGGCCCGCCCCCTTGTGGAGATGGTGTTTTTAGCAGCTGCCCTACCTTTCCATGCCAAGCGCTCCTCCCTCTGTTTCTGGGACAGGGAGAAGAAGAGAGGCCCCCGGGGACCTCCGTTTCAGGGCATTATCTGAGGCATAGTATGCAGGGGCCAGTTGTCCAGGGGTCTGCATCTCAGCTGCCTGTTCTGTGGCGGGCTTGGAGAATTGAACGTGGATGTGCCAGAGCTGGGGAAGACAGGACTAGGGAAAGATCTGGCAGAAGCGGAGTGGAGGTTGGGGGTGGGATATACTGGGGCAGAATGTGAAGTGGGTGGGAGGTCACCTTGGGCAGCCCCGTCGTCTTTCTTGGACTCACCCCTTCCATTTTTGAACACAGAGCCCTTTCCCCACCATGACCCACCATCCTTCTTCCGAGCCACCCTGAAACGTGTCTATCATATCACCATCTGACTTCCTGGGCCATCGCCTTCATGCAACATGCCCCTTTTCCATCCTAAGGGACTGAGGGGCCATGCAAATGGCTTTCTTGGCACACTACCATCCTCTGGCAATCACCTTTGTCCAGCACCATTAAAATGACAGGTTGACTAGAGGAATGTGTCCCCCAGAGATATGGGGCTCAATTCAACTCTCCCCCTCTTTCAGGCTTTCCTATATTCTCTTCTCCCCACTAACCCTAACCCTAACTCTAAACTCTACCCCTAACCCTAACTCTTCCTTCTTTTCCCTCCAACATTCCTCTTCTCTTTCTCCTTCCCTTCTTCTTCCTTCCTCCCTTTCTTTCTATCACAGGACCAGAGATTTAGAGCTGGAAGGGACCTTAGAATTCACCTAGTTCAACTCCCTCTTTTTACAGTTGAGGAAACTGAGACCCAGGAAAGCCAAGTAACCTGCCCACAGTCACACAGGTAGTAAGTGGGAGAACCTGATTTGAATGCAGATTCTGTAACTTCAAGTTCAACCCTTTCCACTGCACCCCACTGGCTCCTCTTCTCCCTGACCCTCCTCCTCCATCTTGCTATTTCTTTTTCTGTTGTTTTGATTTCTAGCCTTGAGGTCACCCTCATCCTGGGTGCCCTTCAGCAAGGGGTCTTCCCTCTAAGTCTCTCATTTCCCACAGAGGATAGCAAGACAGATATACAAGCTTCCTTATTTATAGTTACTAAATGCAGGGTTTCATTTCTGGGGTCCCAATCTGTTTTCATTCAGGCAGATGAGAATTAATAGAGGAGAGGATAAAAATAACTCTACCTCAAAAGAGGGAGTAGCCAATCAGCAGGTGTGTGTGTGTGTGTGTGTGTGTGTGTGTGTGTGTGTGTGTGTGTGTGTGTGTTCGGAGGTGAAGAAGATGCAGCTCCCCTCACCCTGGTTCAGTCTGACAGTTCACCCTCAGCTCCAGTGAAGCTCGGACCTCTGGCTGCCCGATCTATGGCCTTCATCCACTGCCCCTTTAGGTCCTCAGATTCAGCCCTGAATGAGTAGACCAGACCAGATTGTTGGAGCTGGAACGCTCGAGGATCGGCCAGGGGTCCACTTGTCACCTGGTACCCCAGCAGGGGAATGGAGGTGTGAGCTTTCATATCCTGGGAAGGCAAGAAAGCAGAAAGTGGGGTAAAAAAGAGGGAGGGAAGGATAGAAGGAAGGAGGGAAGAAAGGAGGAAAGGAAGGGAACATTGATAATGGACAATTTTATCCTGTTTAGGAGTACCCTTCCACCTTGCAGAGGGACAGGAATTAGGACCTTTCAATAGGTATGAGGGTGGGTGTCAAGGAATTGTTCAACACTTTCGGGGAAAAATAATCACTACCTGAAGCACGAACACTGGACTACAAGTCAGGAGACTTGGGTTCAAATCTTGGTTGCATCATTGACTTGCTGTGTGACCTTGGGCAAGTCACCTGGTCTCTCTTTCTCTCCCTCCCTCCCTCCCCACCCCCATAAAAAAAGAGAGATGATATCTTTATTGCTTACTTCTCTTGTAATGGCTGGAGATAGCAAGTGTGAAGGTGGGCTCTGGGAGAGGCAGGAAGGGCTACTGATGGTGGTGATTACCTGTGGGGCAGCATAGATGTAAAGCACCAGGGGGTCGTCTCTGGGGATGACACACCAGCCTCGGCTACTGGCCTTCCCCCACTTGTCTCCCAGGAGCTGCAGGAAGCTGCACATTAGGCTCTGTTCCGATACCTTCGAAGACTCTTTCTGGGAAATGCACAGGGACACCCATCAGTTTGTGTGGAATAATCCCCCCAAAGAGCTAGGAGGAATTGGAAACCAATCTCCATCTCCTCAATTTCCTTCCCTGTAAAAGAAGAGTCTTGAAAGGTGCCTTCCAGGTGTGATTGTATGAGCTGGGAGGAGGGAGAGATCTGTGTGGGCAGGAGCAATCTAGGAAAGCTTCATGGAGGAGGTGAGCTTTGCAATGGAGGCAAGATTTGAAGAGGTAGAAAGGGGAAGCAATGGCATTCCAGGCGGGCGTTCAAGTACGTGGGTGCGCATGTGTGCACCTGTGTGGAGGTGCCACCGGGCACATGCTCGTGGCAGGAGAAAACCTGGGGTCCCCTGTGTCCCAGAGAAGATTCCCGAGCCCCAGGGACACTGTTTCCACTGGCTGCCTGACAATGTAGCCCCATCCAGAGCAGTGTCCTCCTGGTGGAGCCCCCTGGTGGAGAAGAGGGAGAAGACATGCGGAACACCCCTCCTCCCAGAGTCTTAGCTGCTCCTGAGCTCTAGAGAATTTGGGGGTCCAAATCTGAGCTTTCAATTCAGGCAGGAGGTTCCCTGCCCCTGGTGGATACAGAAGCACTAGTTCATCGGACTGTGAGCTCCTTGAGAGCAGGGATTGATTTTTGGTCTTGGTATCTCTAGCACTTAGCACAGTGACCAGCACATAGGAGGTGCTTCATAAATGATAGTTGACTGACTGACAGATCAGCTGCTGCTCTGAAACTTATAGCCTTACAGAATTTTCAGATGGGGCAGTGTGGGAGTAGGGCCACTGGGAGGTTACAGGGTTATAGGGTCATAAACCAGTATTTATCGGCACTAGAAGCCAGGTCTTCCTAACTCCCAGATGGATATTTGTCTACTACACTAGACCACAATAGCCATCCCTGGAGGTTGGGAGAATACTTTGCCATTAGTCATATGGAGCGCTGACAATAGGAGAGGGGGCAGATCTAGACCACATGCCACCAGCCTGCTCTGAGCCCACTGGACAGTGGGACGGGGGAGTCTTGAAGAGCGAGGTAGGTGGGACTGGAAGGTATACCAGGAGGGGTTAGAATACCTTGAATCATCCCTTCGCCCCCTTCCCCCTCAACCTCGCCACATATTTATTTGTGCTGTAGCTCTCTGCCCCCAGTTAGACTGTAAGCTTCTTGAATTAGATTACTTTCCATTTCTGTATCTCCTTAAGTGGCCAGTATATCACCTTAGGAACACAGGAAACACTTAATCAATGTTGAATTGCATTGTAATGTGTGTGAATATGTGCTGTCTTTATCATTATTGCTGGGATTGCCCCTGTACTGGGGCAACAAGAATTGAACACCATGAGGCAGCTAGGCGATGCCGTGGATAGAGCACCATCCCTGTAGGCAGGAGGACCTCAGTTCAAATCTGGCCTCAGAAGTTGTGGTATATGAATGTAATGGAATACTATTGTGCTATAAGAAATGATGAACAGGCTGACTTCAGAAAAACCTGGAAAGACTTACATGAACTGATGCTGAGTGAAGTGAGCAGAACCAAGAGGACTTTGTACACAATAACAGCCACATTAGGCAATGACTAAGATTGTTAAACTGAACCCTTCTCAGCATTACGAGGATCTAAGACATCTCCAGAAGCCTTGGGATGGAAAATGTTGTCCGCATCCAAAGAAAGAAGTATGGAAGTCGAATCGCTATCACTTATTTTTACCTTCTGTTGAGTTTTGTTTCCTCTTTCTGATGGTTCCTCCTATTGGTTTTAATTTTTACTTACAACTTCACTAATGTGAAAATATGTTTAATAGGAATGTAAATGTAAAGCCTCTATCAGATTGTGTGCCGTCTTGGGGAGGGTGGGGGGAGGAAGGGGGAGAAAAATTTTCAACTCAAAAGCATATGGAAGTGATTGTTGATAATAAATTAATAAAATTTTTAAAAAATCTGCCCTCATACCAAACACTTGACGCTTATTAGCTGTGTGACCCTGGGCAAATCACTTAACCCCAATTGCCTAAAAATAAATAAATAAATAAAAGTTTTAAGGGAAAAAAAAAGAATTGAACACCAGGACAGCCCTGCATTTCATGGGACTGGGTAGAGATGGCAAGATACTGGAAGAAAAGTGACAGAAGACTCTAGGCCACAGTCAGGGTGCAATGGAGAATATTAGCAAACTGGAGCATCCAGGACACAAGGGTCAGGTAGAAGAAGGGGACAGGTGGGGGGGTGGAGTGGGGATGACAACATGGTAGTGTGGGCCATTGGTTGGATTCAGAGTCAGGAGAGTTGGGTTTGAATCTTGTCTCTGACACCTACTATGAGCAACTCTGGGGGAAGTCGTTTACAAGGAAAGAAAGAAGAAAGGAAGGAAGGAAGGAACAGACAGAAAGAAGACAGAGAGAGACAGAGAGGGAGAAAGAAAAAGAAAAGGAGGGAAGGAGGAAGGAAGAGAGAGAGAAGGAAACAGCCATGTGGGAAGTCAGGGAAGTCTGAGGAGCATAAGAACTCAGGTTTGACTTACTCAGTTCCTATTAATGTGGGCAAGGGTCCATCAGTTCTGTCTTTGCAAGTTTACATCAGGGGTGGCATGTGTGCATTGGGGTGGGGTGCCCCCTTTTTTCTTTTATTCTAAGTCAAAATGAGAGTAAAGCCAACAGAAACTAAAATTCTGTTTTGTTCCAGATTACCTGAAAACATGGGTCCTGGCTTCCTCATCTCTAAGGCCAGGCAGTTGGATGAATTGACCTGTAAGGCCCCTGACAACTCAAAAATTCTCTGATTCTAGATACATTCTGGAGAGATGAGTCTCCCTAAGGCAGGCTCTAAACCAGGGCCAGTCCTGGGGCCAGGGGGCTGGGGTGGAGTTTTGAAGATTGTTGTTCGTCCTTCATTCTCCAAGAGGACAATGACATCAGGAGGGTGATGTCTTGACTTGCAAGTGAATAGGATTTAAGTGAGGCAGGGCTGTGCAAGAGTCATCAGCCTCACTTTATCCTCCAGAGTCATGGGAGTCCAATGGCAAGACATAGGTCAAGATGACTGGTGATGGCTCTGGATGTAGCGGGAGACCTTGGCCTTTTTAAGCCAAGGTCTTTCCCAGGTCTCAGTTTGTTTGAGGCAAGGCCCATTCAGTGATTAAGGCTAGGTAAGAACTGAGGCAAAAGATAGCCTAGTTTGCCTTCATAAAAGAATCAGTTTGGGAGTGGAAGACCCTCAGAATTTTTTGAAGAATGAGATAAAGGAAGCCCAGAGCAGTGAAGCTCAGTATTCCCTTGAGCATAGAGATAGAGTACTGCTGTCCAGTTGGGTCCAACTCTTTGGGTCACAAAGATAGTAGAGTGGTTTGTCATTTCCTTCTCCAGGTCATTTTACAGATGAGGAAACTGAGGCAAACAGGGTTAAGTGACTTACCCAGGGTTACAGAGCTGGTCAGTGTCTGCAACCACATTTGAACTCACATCTTCCTGACTCCAGGTCTGGACCTAGCTGCCCAGAGATAGAATAGGCAGAGAATACCAGATCAAGAGCAGGAAGAAGGGATGGGCTTAGTTTGGGTCCATTCCCATGGTGATAATGTTTATCTGGTCTGAAAATGGTATCTGTTGTGGCTAGGACAGAGAGAGGGAAGTGGAGGGGTGAGTGTTAATGGACAAGTGGAAGGGGTACCAGAAGATAGAGGCAGGGAGAAATGGACAACGTTGCTCTGGAGGGCGGCCACACCCCTTCCTCACCTCGAGGATCCCTTTCTTCTTATCTTCCTTGTCCTCTGGCAGTAGGTTTCCGGTGAGGAAGACATAACACTCGAGGCAGACCCGGTTGAGGCGACTGTCATCGTATTTCAACCTAGCTCTGTAATCAGAGCACTTAGCACACACCACCTGCAGGAGAACTGGGGTCAGGGGTAATGCAAGCACTGGCCTGGCCTGAGACTAGATGGGTATGTGTGTCTATGAATTGGGGGCAGTTCAGGGTGAAAGAAAGAGACAGGGAGAAGAGGAAGGATAGGCAGAGGGAAACAAAAAGGTGGCTATCAATCAATAATATTTACTGCCCTCATCGCTATCTTCAAAGTACAGAGCTGAAACTAGGGGAGGACAGCTGGGGCTCTGTCCAAGATGCCAACATCTGTGGTGACACAGCTTCCAGCCCAGGAACAGGGCAGATGGGCATTGCTTCCTTTCTATTATGGGAAAGCACACAAACGTGTAAGTCACTTCTAGCTGAGGTCTGGGTCCCCTCTCCCAAAAAAGGGGGCAATATTGATAAATATGTCATTGTGGTTACGACCTTTGGCAATAATTGAAGCCATAAAATGAATGAAGTCCCCAAAGAGTGAGTGTAGAAAAAAGAAGATCAAGAGCCTGGGACTGAGTCCCAGGAGAGGAGCAGTTAAGGATAATGAGGAGAAAAGAAGCCAGCAAAGGATAGAAAGAATAAAAGAAAAGAAAGGGGAGGATTACTGTCTATTACTGTTACATCCCCCAGAGCCATAAGCAGCAATTTGGGGCCCTTGGGACAAGAAGCTAAATCAAGTCAATGTGTTTATTAAGAGCTTACTATGTGCCAGGCAAGAAACACAAATGCCCTCTTGCCTGTGGAAAGTAGCACAAAACATTACAGAAATCAATTTTGTAATTCATGATTTAAAAATAATATAATTAAGATATATTTGGTTGAATGGGAGAAAGGAATTAACAACTGGAGTCAGTTCTAACTGCTGAACTACATGCTTTCAAGTTCTGTGCCCTCTAAATTTCATCGACTTGGGACAAAGCCCTGTGGACCTACCCTAGTTATGTGCATTCCTCACAGTGCTTACCACAGTACTGAACACAAGGCAAATAAGCTCTCAATAAATGTTTGTTGATTGACTGAAAGAGACAGACTGTTGAGAAAGGGGAGGGATAGGTAAGGGAAAGAGGAAGCTGATGAAGATAAAGAAAGGGGAGAGGGAGGAGAGTGCTCACGTAGCCGCATGCCCTGCAGTGGTGCCGTCTCCGGGTGAGGACATTGAAGGGCGTCTTGCAGCGCATGCACATGGTCACCATCTTGTCACGGACCCACTGGGGAGCTCTGATGCCCAGCTCTTCAGACTTCAGCTGAGCAGAGGGGTGGAGACTTAGAAACCTCCTGACCCTCTTCCCTTTGCTCATCTCCCATCCCTGCAACTATTTATCACTTCCTATTTTCCCAGACTCTACCTGAAATACTAAGATTTAGAGCACTTTGAGGCGTAGATAGGTAAGGCATTAATATCATCTCCACTCGACAAATGAGGAAACTCAGAACCCCGGTCACACAATTTAGTAGCAAAGCCAGGATGAGAACCCAAGGCGTCCAGGCTCCCAGCCTAGGGCTCTGCCCACTGGAGCACACTATCTTCTTCCCAGAGGCCGTCTCGCTCGCTCCCTTCCTTCACCCTCCGTCTTTAGCCTTCCTTTTCCGTCCCTTTGGCTTGGGCTTTCTAGGCTCACACCACTCCCAAACAGCTGCCCTCTCCCTAGAGTCCCTTCCTCAGCCAAGCCCCACTGCAGAAGGGAGAGGGGAAGAAAAATGAAAAACTCAAAATCTTATGGAAGTGATTGTTGCAAAGCAGGCAGTTTCTCCTCAGTGCCGCTCTCTTCCCTTTCCTGTGCCGGGTCCTCCTTTACAGCTGATCTCCCCTCCTCCCCCAGCCCCCCTTGGGCCATTCATTGTTCTGCACCCCTGCATCCATATGCTTTAGAGCAGGAGTTCTTAAACTTGGGAGTGCCCTGGGTCTCTTTGGCATTCTGCTGAAGCTGATGGACTCCTTTCTCTGAATAATGTTTTTAAATGCATAAAATAAAATAGGTAAGATTGCGAAGGAAATAAATTATATCGAAATAATTATCAAAGTACTAAAAACAAAGAGAAAGTTCACCACCACCACCCAGGTTAAGAACTTCCGCTACAGTGGCAAAAAATTGGAAATTGAGGGAATGGCCATGAATTGGGGAATGGCTGAGCAATTTGTGGTATATGAATGTAATGGAATACTATTGTGCTATAAGAAATGATGAGCAGGCAGACTTCAGAAAAACCTGGAAAGACTTGTATGGTCTGATGCTGAGTGAAGTGAGCAGAACCAGGAGAATGTTGAACACAGTAACAGCCACGTTGTGCGATGACTGACTTTGATAGACTTAGCTCTTCTCAGCAATGCAAGGATCTAAGACAATTCCAAGTCTCATGATGACAAATGCTATCCACATTCAGAGAAAGAACTGTGGAGTTTGAATGCAGAGCGAAGCATAGTATTTGCTATTTTTTTCTTCTGTTTTGTTTTGTTTCCTCTTTCTTGTGGTTCCTCCTCTTGGTTCTAATTCTTCCTTACAATATGACTAATGTGAAAATATGTTTAATAGGAATGTATGTGTATAGCCTATATCAGATTGCACGCTGTCTTGGGGAGGGAGCTGGGAGAATGGAAGAAAAATTTAAAACTCAAAAGCTTATGGAAGTGATTGTTGATAAATTAAAATAAATTAATAAAGAAAAAACTTCTGCTATAGCTGTTATGAGGCACCTTATGATTATTTCATCTGACCCCTCCACCCCATTTTACAGATGAGGAAACTGAGTCTCAGAGAAGGGAAGTGATTTGCCCAAGGTCACAGAAATGAATAGTGAGTCTGAGAATCGAATCCAGGTCTTCAAACTTAGCAATAACAACTATTATTATTAGAACTAGCATTTATATCATGCTTTAACGTTTACAAGGCACTTTACAAATATTATCTCATTTTATCATCCCTCCTTTTGTTGCTTAGTCATTTCAGTCATGTTCTACACTTCGTGACCTCATTTAGGATTTTCTGGGCAGAGATACAGATGAGGAAACGGACACAAACAGCGTGAAGTGATTTGCCCAGGGTCACACAGCTGATAGAGATTTGAACTCAGGAAGATGAGTCTTCCTGACTCCAGCCCCAGCACTCTGTGCACTATTGTGCCACCTAGTGGCCTCATCCCTACTTTACAGATAAGGAAACTTACCTGGAGTGACTTGTCATCTCACCTAGCAGGTGTCTAAGGCCTGATTTGAATTCAGGCCTTTCTGATTCCAGGTCCGATGCTCTAACCACTGCACTACCTAGCTGCCTCATTCAGCCCTTTTCTCACTGTTATCCTGCCCAGCTCTGCTCTTTCACTAACTCCTCACTGGAATGGGCTCTCTCATTCAGAATTTATTTGCAGAGAGAAGGTGCTAAAGAAATAAATTGGGAAAAAAATCATATTAAGAAATAAATTGGAAACATGAAATTTCAGATGCAGGGAAGATTTTTTTTTTGCGGGGGGGAGCAGGAGTGGAGAGTTTCCTACACTGCACAGATGACTCCATTGTTTGTGAAGTAGGCCTGACTACAGCAAAGAAATAGGGGATATTTTTTGTGGGGAGGAGCAGGGCTCAGTGCAATTTACCTGGTGCTCCTCTGTGTCTCCCTCAGGCCCCTGGACCGCGGCTTTGAAGGTTTCATGCCGCTTCCCAATTTGGTCAATGGCCCGCTGGCAAGACTGGGAACAGGAAGAATGATAGATTAATTGTCGTGGCCAGTTCCCCATATCCAAGGACCCTGGGCCTCCCCATAGATGTATCTCTCTTCCTTCCCTGGCCACAGAGCCACACAGTAACCTGGGGAATTCCAATGGCCTGAAAGAAGATGAATTCACTGGCTAGTGTCTACCCTGGGCCCCAGGCTGGGGCTGAGCATAAACACCTTTAAATGGGAGGGAAGGTCATACCTCAATGCCAGCCCCCCAAAGCAGGGCCGAGATAGCTCCAGAGAGGAGATAAAGGAAGCCTCAAAGGCTCCTCCCATTTCTTTTAGACTATCTAAATCCACCCTATCATTCAAGGTCCATCTGAAGTCACCTCCTCCAGGAAGCTTCCTTGATCTCCCCAGCTGACTCCTATAGTGCTTAATGTCCCACACCAGCCACTGGGCATTTATCATGCTCTGTTTATACTGTTAGTTATCCTTTCTGATAGAATATTTGTTCCCTGAGGGGAGGGACTTTATAATTCTTTGTATTTGTATCCACAGTAACTAGTATATATCTGGCACACAGTGGTGTTGTTTAGCCATTTTTCAGTTCTGTCTGACTCTTCACGACCCTATTTAGGGTTTTCTTGGCAAAGATACTGGAGCGGTTTGCCATTTCCTTCTCCAGGTCATTTTTACAGATGAGGAAACTGAGGCAAACAGGGTAAGTGACTTGCCCAGGGTCACATAGCTAGTAAATGTCTGAGGCCAGATTTGAACTCAGGAAGATGTCTTCCTGACTCCAGGCCTGGCACTCTTATCTACTGCATCATTTAGCTGGCACACAGTGTGGCCCCAATAAATTATTACTGATGAATTGATTGATGCATCTGTGCCGTGTCTCCCTAGTTAGTACTTATATTATTGTTATCCTTCCTGATAGAGTATATGCTCCTTGAAAGCAGGGACTAATTTATTATTCTTTGTGTTTGTATCATTAGGGCCTACTACAATACCTGGCACATAGTAGGAGCTTAATAAATTATTATTGATGGATTGATTGACTGTCTGTGCTATCTCCCTAGTTAGTACTTAGAGTATATGCTCCTTGAGGGCAGGGACTTAATTATTCTTTGTCTTTGTATCATTAGGGTCTACTACAGTACCTGACACATAGTAGAGGCTTAATAAATCCTTTCTGATAAGTGGATGTGGTTATGCCATATCTTCCTAGTTAAACATTAAGTCCCTTGAAGGCAAGGACTTTTTCTCATATTTATTTTTCTCTCTTCCTCAGTACCTGATTGTGGCACACCTAGGCTCTCAACACATTCAACTCAACAAGCATTTATTAAGTACCTATTGTATGTGGGACAATCTACTATGTGCTAAGCATAATGGTTTCACACATGAGAGTGAAATTGCGTCTGCCCTAAAGGGAACCATGATCTAGCTGGGAAACGGAAATGTGCAGACACATGCATAAATAAAGATGGTACAAGACAGAGGAGAGATCATTTTCGGTTGGAGGGGCTACCCACTGATTAAGTGACCGAAAACACCCACCTCCCTCATTTAGCTGGTTGTCCCTGGGTGGGTGACCCTGGCAAAGGGAAGGGGGTTGAGACTTTGGCTCAATCCACTTGGCAGAGGGAGAACGAGGTCTTGGGAGAAGTGATCTGTGGTTATGTTTGTGAGTTAGGGATGGCAGGATAGAAAAACTGGAACGCGGTTCTCTCTGCTGAAGCTGTGACCGCCTTCCCCTCCCCACGTCCCACCTCCCAGGCTGAGTGAGGGTGAGGTTACCTGGATCCAGGTGTTCATTTCTTCCTGAGACCTGCCCCAAAATAGGACATATCCATTAAGGAGAGTCAGGCTCCATCTCCCCATGGCCACCCTCACCCGACCCCACAGGTGTCCTGTCTGCTCCCCACCTCTGGTACACTCAAGATGCCTTACTGGGCTTGCAGTTCCAGGGTCCTCTGTTTCCCAGACACCAAGAAAGAGTGAGGAAATTCCACATCATTCAGTTCCCGGACCTAAAGGGTAAGAAGAGTCATTCAGGAGCAGAAAGCAAGTTATCCCGCTGGGTGTTCTGGGTCGCATCAAGTTTGGCCTTGGCCAGGCGTGTTCACAAAAGAGGGGGAGGCAGCAGTCTGCAGCCTGGAGAAGAAGCGGTCGCTGCTGTCCAGTCTACTACCGGACCAATGCACGTTTCCAGGCCCTCGAGTTGGACAGCATTCTCTTAGAAGTCAGCTCTCTGCAGAATCACAGAATTTCTGAGTTGGAAGGGATGTCAGGGGGAATGTAGTCCAACCCCGTATATGAAATAGAATCCTCCCTATAATCTCCCTGATAGATGGTATCCAGCCTCTGCTTATGAGAAGGGGGGCAGCTAGGTGGCACCACAGTGCACAGAGTACCAGGACTGGAGTCAGGCAGACTCATCTTCCTGAGTTCAAATCTAGCCTCAGACCTTTACTAACTCTGTTACCCTCGGCAAGTCATTTAACCACCGTTTGCCTCAGTTTCCTCATCTGTAAAATGAGAGCTGTTGCTGTGAGGGAATCTAACAAACTTCCCAAATGTTCCTCTGAACCCTGGGGGTTTGGGGCAGTGTGACTATGTGGATCTGTGAGAACTTTTTCATGCTAGTAGTGATATTTACCCTTTTTGGAGAGATAATAAAAGTTAGCATTTATATAACACCTGAAGGTTTGCCAAGCGCTTTCCACGTATTTCATTTGATCTTCACATCAACCCTGGGAGGTAGGTGCCTATTATTCCTCTCATTTTACAGATGAGGAAACTCAAATAGAAGTTAAGTGACTTATTCAGGGTCACACAGCTAACACATCTCTGAGGCAGGGTTTGAACTCAGGTCTTTCTGACTCCAAGGCCAACACTTTATCCACAGGGCTACCATGATATTTCCTCTAGAAGGGAAAATATTACTAGCATCAAAATCTTCTCCTAGAACAAATTATACAGGGATCAAATATATTTATTATATGTGGCAACATTTTTTTGGCATGAAAATAGGCTTAAATTTCACTTATTTTGTTCCAACATTTCCCTAGCTTTTCTCTATGGCTGGGTATTTCATTCTCTCAGCCCCTCCCAACTAGCCTTTACAGATTCCATCAATAGATTTTAAGTCCAAGAATTTCTTGTGGCCAAATTAGTTTGAGAAATGCTTCCCTGGAAATTACAGTACAGACAAGAAGACCACACATGATGCTACCCTCAGGAAGAGAAGGGGGAGGGCAGGGATCAGGGACCAGGATGATGAAGCCTGTAGAGGAGGAAGAGGAGGCCACATCTCCCTGGGTGACTTCATTGTTTTGCCTTTAGACCAGCCTGATTCCAAACCACAGGCAGAGGCTCTTGAGCCAATGCAGATAAAGGAAGGCACTGGAATAGATGGTTTTTAGAGTCCCTCCTAGCTCTGACATCCCTGTTTTATGCTCCTACATCCTACGTTCTAAGGCCTCTACCAGATCTGACGTCTCTGTCCTAGGCTCTGACACTCAGTGTTCTAAGGCCTCTCCCAGCTCTGACATCCTATCCTATGCTCTGACACTCAGTGTTCTAAGGCCTCTTCCAGCTCTGACATCCTATCCTATGCTCTGACACTCTGTGTGTTCTAAGGCCTCTCCTAGCTCTGACGTCCTCTAGGCTCCGACGCTCTGCGTTCTTAAGCCCTACATAATTGTGTTATTCTGTGATACACATCTCAGATGAACAGCAGACATTGGGATTATCCCCTTCCCTTCTGCCTGATAAACGGTATCCTCTCCAGGAAAGGATAGTGTATTTGCACACACACACATACACCCGCCCACAGATATGCATAGGTATATAAGAGAACCAGGGACTCAGAGACATCCACAGAGATTCACACACAGGGAGGAATATTCAGAGACACATGCACCTGCAAACATTTCCATGGACATCCCTACTTAGACATCCATTTAGAGACATGCTCAGAGACACGTACAAGCACAGACACTAACAGAAATGCATAAACACAGGGAACAGACTTGGGAAGAGACGCACATAGAGATGTTTTGAGATACACACAGCCAACATATCCCTCCAACAAATACACCAATTGTGTACCCACGTGACCAGAATCGAACCAGGAATTCCAGCACCCGTGACAGATTCCATTGAATGGAACGTTGGGAGAGGGGGTAGGTAAGAGACAGCATCAGAGACGGTCAGACCTTGGGTGAAGTCTCACATTGCACCTCCTTCCCTATCCCCTGACTTCCACTGGTCTAGGACACTACTCTCTCTCCTTTTCCAGAGGCCCATCTTCTCCTCTAACCTCTTTGGATGCTTAGGTTAGTAGAGGATGGGCAAAGTCCTCCAAGACATGCTGAACCACTGTGGGGAAGAGTGTCAAGCCGCATCTGGGGAATAAGAGTATTCCCCCACCTCTCCGCCATATATATATACACATATATATATATACACACACACATATATATATGATATATATCACATATATTATATATGATATATATCACATATATATATCACATATATTTATATATGATATATCACATATATTTATATATGATATATATCACATATATATATCACATATATTTATGTAGGACATATATATGTGATATATATGTGTGAGTATATGTGAGTCTCTCTCTCTCTCTCTCTCTCTCTCTCTCACACACACACACACACACACACACACACACGCACATGCTAAGATCGTGCTCAAAATTTATCAGAAAGGGGCAGTTTGGTGGTGCAGTGGATAGAGCTCCAGTCTTAGAGTCAGGAGGACCTGAATTCAAATGCGACCTCAGACACTTGACACTTACTAGCTGTGTGACCCTGGCCAAGTCACTTAATCCCAATTGCCTCACCAAAAAGCAAAAGGAAAAAAAAAACAACTCATCAGAAAGACTGCTTTCAGCTTTGGTACTTGGCACTCAAAGCCTTCATATGAAGAGGGCTCAGAAGCCCAGCAAATGCTTCATGTCCCACTGGCTGAACTCTTTGGATGCCTCTCCACTATCATCAAGCCCTCATGCTAGGAACATTGTACCTCCCCCACCTTCTGGTTCCCTTTTGTGTTTTGTCTTCCCCCATTAGATTATAAGCTCCCTTGGATAGAGTACCGGCCTTGGATTCAGGAAGACCTGAGTTCAAATCTGGCCTCAGACACATATAACACTCACTAGCTGTGTGACCCTGGGCAAGTCATTTAACCCCATAGCCTAGTCAAAAAAAAAAAAGATTATAAGCTCCTTGAAGGCAGGGGCTGTCTTCCTTTTTCTTATTTGTATCCTCAGTACTAAGCACAGTGCCTAGCACATAGTAGGTACTTTTAAAAATATTTATTGTGCTATATTGCATTCCTGAAAATATCCTCTTATGCTTACCTGCACAATATAAGCTTGTATGCATATAGGCATCCTGGGCATGTCTAAGAATGCAGGCTCTGGGCAGTGACTCTGTGTTCACTGGAAGTAGTAATGCTTCATTTCCCAGAAGGCTGAGGGTTGACTTCAGGAAGTAAAGCCTGAGCCAAGTCGAGAACAGATAAGCTTCCAGATAATAATTCACAGTCTCTCCAAGAACAGGCAGGCAGAGCAATGCCCAGAAAATGCCAGCCCGAGATGCCCTTTTGGGGCTAGCTCCCAGGCTGCCAACAGTAGCCAACAGGTTCTGCTCCTGACACTCTCCATCTAATTAGGAGTCAACACGGTTTGACTGTTGGGTCTGGCACAGAGGGGTAGCTCAGGGGCTTAGGTAAAGTGCCAGGCCTGGGGTAGAAGAGTTGGCAGCTGCCTAGAATGCAACAAGGCAGCTTTAAAAACACCTTTTTCATAAATGCACATGGTTTTATTATGACAGGAGGCACTGAGACAGGCAGGGCATAAATAATAACTCACATTTATATAGCATTTTAAAGTTTGCAAAAATACATATATTACTGCAGTGTTTCTCAAAATTTGTGTTTCTATCAAGCTATTTTTTACTGTGAGGAAGAGCAGAATTGGGAGATTTTGCATGGAATTTCAAGTGTGCGTTATATACGTTTCCCAGGATGCTGCTGTATTCGTAAGAGATTGCAAGGGTGAGTTCTGTACAATTCACAGAGCACTGGGCGTTTTCATGAGCTGTCCCCCTACACCTGGAATGTTTTCCCTCCTCATCTCTACCTCCTGGCTTCCTTCGAGTCTCAGCTAAACTCCCACCTTCTTTTAAAGGAAGTCATGGGGGGGGCAGCTAGGTGGATAGAGCACTGGCCCTGAAGTCAGGAGGACCTGAGTTCAAATCTGGCTTCACATCAAACATTTGACACTTACTAGTTGTGTGACCCTGGGCAAGTCACTTAACCCCAATTTCCTAAAAATAAATACATAAAAGAAGTCATTCCCACTCCTCCTCAAGTCTAGTGCCTTCTCTCCTTGGATTATCTCCAATTCATCCTGTCTACAGCTTGTTTTTACATAGTTATTTGATGCTGTCTCCCCATTAGATTGTGAGCTCCTCCAGGGCAGGGACTGTCTTTTGCCTTTCTTTGTATCCCCAGCACATAGTAGGTGCCTAATAAATGTTTGCTGACTGACTGATGTGACCTCTTCCCACATCATCTCGTTTGGTCCTGGTAACAACCCTATTATGCTCTTTTACAAATGAAGATTTGTTGCTTTGTTTGTTTGTTTTTTCTAGGCACTGGGGTTAAGTGACTTGCTCAGGGTCACACAGCTAGTAAGTGTCAAGTGTCAAGTGTCTGGTCTGAGACGGATTTGAGCTCAGGTCCTCCTGAATCCAGGGCCAGTAATCTATCCACCTAGCTGCCCCTGTGTGTGTATTCTAAGGTACTATCCTGGTCCCTCTCCTCTCACTTAGTGACCTCATCAGTTACCATGTATTAAATATATCCTGCCCCAACCTCTCTTCTGAGTTCCAGTTCCACATCACGAAATACTGATTGGACACTGGATGTCTTATAGACATCTCAAACTCAGTATGTTCAAATAGAGCTTATTACCTTTCC